AGTAGTAGAAATGCAGTCAACCCAAGGGAGATGGAGGAGGGGTTAAGAGAAGGAGAAAGTGGAGAGGCTGCATGCAATCACTGGCCACCGAGAGAAGAGATGAGGAGTGGAGAATTACATGAAATTTCCAACACATTAAGCACAACCCGTTGCCTGCACACGCAGGGTAAAGAGGGGTGGGGAGGCTGCTGAGTGACCGCTGTCCAATCCAATGAAAGTATTTTATAGCTTAAGAGAACTGATCCAGTTACAAGGCTTCCCTGGATGTTCCCTGATGATGGGTATACATATAAAGATAGGGGCTCAAGGATACATAGCAATCACCTGCTCAAGTAAGCCGAGGGGATGTGAAGGACTTAAACTAACCACATCATAGACACAGTCAGCCTCTCAAGTACATAGACATTTGTGTGCATTTGTTTGGTTGTACAAATGTGTGACAAGTCCGGACAAAGAAATTAGCGTAGCCATGCTGCAGGGTCCGGCACACCAATATAAACCAGACAGAAGGGGAGAGGGCTGCACAGTCATTGGCCGCCCTCATTTTATCACCGGAGAAACATGACGCAATCAAGTAGTACCCCCTTTGCAATGTATTCCCTGTTTATGCAAACAGGGTCAGGAAGGCGGGGGTGTGCAGAAAGTGAGGTTGACAGCTCAGTGTCTCCTGCTGCAGCAGAGATGAATGGGCAGGCTGAAAACTGCCTTCATTCATAATGGAATACGGCAACAAAGCAGCTTCATCCCCAGGTTTCTCAAGATGAGAACTAGGGAAAAACAAGGGCAGACTATAGGACAGAATAAAAGGGCTGTGCAGGCAGCACAAAGGCTGAGACATTATAGAAAAAGTCTTACATCGACTCAAAATATAATTTTCTGATTTATGGCCCCAGGTGCTATCCTAATAAAGCTTAGAATGGGCAGAGATAGCAACAATATTGCATTGCTGTAAATGTTGGAATGGCCTTAAAATGTCAGAACAAACCAAAGTAAGGAAGGACAAAAAGAATATAAAGTGCAGAAGAGGAAGGCTCCCATGTAAAGCTTCAGAAATAGACTGCCGAGAGCCAAAAAATAGGTGTGAAACCAAAATGGTTGTATGAAATGTGTGGTTTGCTTTATCTGAAACAAAAGACAGTTACACATCCTACAGAGCTGTACAGATAAACCGATGATCAGCAGCACAGAGAGTAGAAGCGTGGGCGTGAGGGGGAGACGAGTGAGTGAAGAGAAACAGAGAGGAAGAACAGTGCAGGAACACATTCTGTCTGAGTGGGTGTCTCTGCATGTCTGCAGGTCTCTGTGTGTGTCGTCATTACAAAGCACTCCTTCTTAGCATCAGTGAAAGCCACAAATAGCAAGAACCACCAACACACTGTGCTAGATTATAATTTTGGAACAGAAGAAGGCACGTTCTCAATCAATACCAACATTCAGTGTTTACACAATTAGGTATATAATTGAGTGACACAGCCAACTGCTGTATATATTAAGTATAATATGGCTTGCACTCAGAATTGGCGCCAGGTTCCTAAACTAAGTGGCTCTTATTCTACACCGCCAGCAGAAAAAGCTATAAGGGTTTTAAGGTATCCGAATAGGAAGTAGTTTGCTTATAAGAGTCAGCTGCTGCATGAGCACAAACGGCAACTGCATAATGTCCGCACCCCGCATCTCTAAGTTTAAAAACCACAAGCACTTTTTCGGCCTCTTGATCAAGAGTCTGTAGCTTCCCAACGCTGCAGCTACAAGTACAAACTGTAATGCAACTCTAGTCGACCACACCAATTAAATGTTTATAGGCCTGTCATGTGTCTCTAGTGGAATTAAGGATATGGTGTGCTGTATCCCAAAAGGGCAAAATGTAGAAGAGGCACAGGAGGTGGTCAGTTGTATGTAAGGATGCAAAGTTTTTGCTTCCTGCTTTTTGCCTATCTATCCAAACTGCAGCACTACAGCCAACCACATAAGATAACCAGTCAAATGTTAATACAACTGTGTTGAACAGATTGAAAATGCTTGGACTATTCATTATAACATTTAAAATCCAGTATTAAAATGTTTATCTTATTAAGATTAACAGTGATATTTCAAAGATTTAACACATTTTAAGGCATTAAGGGGTTACAGGAGCACCGACTACTCCCACTTGACTGAATGGCTTGTCCTATCACCTACCATTTGTCTCTCTTTAACCCGATACTTACAGCATACTTGATATTTGGGCATTGTAAGGTGAGGTTGTATATCATTTCCACTGCACATATCAGGAAGTAACTCTGCTGACCTGCAATATTATGGCTCTGCTTAAGAGTTATGTGTATGTAACATATTATTAATGAAAACGGAACATGCTGCGGTTTTCAATCAGCAGATCTCTGCAAGGCACCCAACTAATGTTGACATTATTGCGGTTTGAGTGAACCTCAAATCTCCATGACATCATTGAGGCAAACAAAAGCTTTTTGTGTGCCTTCCTGTGATAGGGTTAACCACCATGATCACATCGCAGGTCCTGTTCATGGTACAGGTATCACAAGCATTTCAAAATGTTGATGCACCGTCCATCTTGGTCTGTTTTCCATCAGAATTTAAAGGAGGACAGTAGCCATTTATCTGATCAGTATTTTTTTATGAGGCTATGTGCGCTGACAGACTACTCCTGCTCGGACTCTCCCAATGCCTTAAAGACATAACAAATGTATTTTGGTGCTTAAGATGTCAGTTGGGATCTACAGTGAGAGTTGTGAAGTAAATGGTAATAAAGTAATATACTGCAGAATAAGACTTCATGCCTTTTTCCCTGTGGGTTTTTGTGAAATAAGATATGTTTTTAATGAACAGCAACAGCTCTCTTTAATTTATATTTGACAAGAAAATATCAGCTTATCATCAAAGGAAGTATAAATTGTGGGAAAGCCTCATAGGCAATTCAATAATTCAAGACTAGAATGAACACTGCCACTGCCTGTGCATTGTAGCGTTACATTTATTCACTCAATGGAGTGAAGAGTGCAGGCCAGTCACCCAATGGCCGAGTTGTGAAGAAGGCTTCCTACTGAATGCATGTCTGCACAGAGAATCGTTGTACTATATCCTGGTATATGAAATGATGTCATGAACTGAGGACATTTTTGCATATAGGCAGTGGCGGCGCAAGAGTATTTTTCTTGGGTAATCTATGGTAGGGCTAACCCATACAGTGGTGGGGCTAAAGTCAGTATTTGCAATGTAATTACATACACGCTATATCGCCCCCCCTTGACAGTGAAACGCCACACGTGAGGTTTAGATTATTTCCCTGTCTCAATCAAAATGGAACAGTATGAAATAAAAATGGCACATTTGTGTTGTAGTAAATAAAAAGGGATCACTGTGAACGTGACGTCTAATCCATATTGCATCAGTAACGTGCACTTGTTGTAACAGCAGGATCAGTTTGTGTGTTGTGGACACGACCCGTATATTTTCGCAAGCCGTGTTCTCAACATTTTGCTTATTATTTAATTGAATTTGCTTACTTTAAAGTAATTTGTCATGGTGGGGCTAAGCCATTTCTTGGTATGGCTGTAGCCTACCCCAGCCATACCCTGGCGCCGCCACTGCATATAGGGCAGAGAACAGAAGACAATGAGATGGATAACCTTCAACTCTCTGTTGGAAAAAGGGACAATATTAATTTGCAAAGTGTAACCCAGGCAACTGCAGCACCAGGATTTTTGAAGTGCTCCAAGAACCTTTACTTGGTTTGAATTCAACTGCAAATGGCCATGATTCTAGGCAAGAAGAATTTCTGACATGTCTCTAAAAGCGGTATAAAATATCTGGATAACTTTAGAAAATGTTGCCTAGGGCTGAAGACAAAAACAACCTTGTGATTGTGTTGCTATAACCTATCCAGAAAACAAGATACCCCTAGCCTTCTCTCCCCCTAAAGAAATCTCCACTTTCACTTCCCCTTCTTTTTTTCCTTCCTCCATACATTTTATTTACCGTCCAGTTGATGTCCAGGTTGGGCTTTCCCCAGGGTTCCCCTCAGGACCAAGCTCAGTAACGAGTCTGGCACTAAGAGTTGAACGCTCAGCTGGAGGTGCATCACTGATCCGCTCTGATGCTAAACTCAGCCTCTTGCCTCTTTGCTGCTCGACTACTTTCCCTGGGTAAACAACAAGCAGGCTGATACCTGGTATCTAGTTGAAAGACAAGCTTTTGATTTCCATGCGGCGGCTGTATGGGAATACATCTGTAGCCTTTCTCTCATCATTGTCTCTTCTCCATGCATAAAAATACATTTATGGAGCTCTGTTACAGATGGGCTTTGCAGCAAATAAAACACCAAAGAAGTGATACAAATAACTGGGTCAATGAGATGTGTATCAGCTGAGTTTCTTTCATTTTCAGAGTGGAAAAATTGCACTTTCCTTTATCCAATGCCAAAGAAACTGCAAACAGCCACACCCAGATCAATAACCCTGGGAGACGACACTCTGTTACCCACATGAGCACAACAAGGAAACAACGAAAGCAAAAACATTACATTTATTGAATAAAGCTACCATATGCTGGACATGTGGCAATATTTACCTAACTTACAGCAACCTAATAGAGCACTATTATAGGAAAACACATTCACATGACTCATTCAGGATCATACCAGTGGATCATGAGATTCCAGGGAGATTCAAATGAGCAGAAGCTCGTACTCTCAGAGACTGGTCTATGGAAATTAGATTTAAATCTGGGTTTGTGTGTCTGACTCACTGTGCATGTGTTTGGTTTCAAGCAAAGTAAAGTGGTGTAAACATTACAAACACAATGGTTTCAAGAGTCTGTTGCATATGGGCAAAGTATGAAAGATGGGGTTGCATAATTTGGAGTCAAAACAGACATCTGCAAGCAGCAGAGAGGAACAACATTCTTGTAAATTGACTTAACCACAGTGCTATGGCAACACTCTCCTGACGATATGAAATGCAATACATACTTTTTGCTAAACTCACCCAGAATACTGTCCCTTTCATTGGCTCTCTGATCAAATATCCAAAGCCTAATGAAGTCTGTCTCCATGGAAATACATTTTCCAACAAAGTCTCCTCTCCAACATCTCCTCAACCCTATTTATAGAATGGCAAACACTAGGTAGCTGGCAAAGGATAAGAACAAATGAAGTGAGAATGGAATTGTCTGGTATCTTCACCTCTCCGTGCCGCTTGTCTTTCTGCTCACAGCTTCATTTCAAATCAAAGGCTTTGAACAAGCGTTCACACAAAAAGCTGACAAACAATCCCAAGTCTCACAAGAGTGGGCAGGTTTTATGTGTGTGAAGTTGTGAGAAGCTTGTGTGCGCTTCAAGCTGATGCAAGGCCTGCAGGGTATGCGCACACATTCAATGCCAGTCAGAAGCGTGAAGACAGCGGGCAGCAGGGTCATCGCTAAGCCTCTCTGCCAGGTCTTGGAACTCTTCGGTCCGCTGCTTTTTTACCTCCGTGTGTGGAATGAGGATGAGAAAATCACAGGCCTTTTTTAGGTTAACAGCTTCTTCCTCCGTCCACATCAAGAAAAGGGCGTAAGGCGAGAGTGTGCATGCACAAACATGAAAGTTATATCTTAATTCAGTTGTGTCATACCACAGAAAGCTGGGCTAGCATTGCTATAGCACACCTGCAGAACAGCATCAGCCCAATAAGTAAAGAACAGAAAGTCCTCCAAACAATCTGAAAACACTGGCAGGGCTCGAGGGAAAAGTCCGGTCAATCATGCAGAACGCACTAATTAGCATTAGCCTACATGGATGTCATGCTTGTTAATACCACACTCCAGTTGCAGCATAAAGATGAGCTCTTACAAAGTAAACAGCACGGCATTAACTCTACGACCAAGGACAACAATTATGACTGTCCAATTTCATTAACAAAAACACTCCCTCGATACGCCATCATTTTAATCAAGCACTACCATGTATGAGTGCTGCGGCTTCTGTGATTATTATTGGACATCCCTTCTTAAACGAATGCCCTGATACTCCTGTGAGTCAAAAGTAAAATTCTCCTTAATTCAAAGAACAAAAAAATTGGAAAATCTTCAGTGTCAAGCTGTCACATCAGAGACCTCATCAACAGAAGATTACAGCAACAGAGCTATTTACATAAGCAATCTTCTTTACTGCCCCGCTTCCCGGAGGTGCAGAGGCAAGATTGCATCTTTCATACTCGTCCCCTCTGCTCCTCTACAGTCACGTACAGGAAGGTGGAACACCAATTTATGAGGCAGAGCACAGTGCTGTAGAACAGGCGATGATAGATTGGCCCTTTAATATAGTATCTGGTTGTATTAGGTCATTGTGGTCAATATCTCAAAACAAAGGGCAGAAATGCTTTATGCCAATATTAAAATTACAGTTGATTTTGAAAATAGTGTTTACTGTCAGATTTTCCAGGTAGGATTTAATTTCCCTCATAATATATACAAGTTTTGCGGCAAAAAAGGCATTTAAGATTAAGTCAAACTGGGCACGTGAATGGAAATTTAAAGTGGACCTATTATGCTGTATTGGTAAAAAATATTGTAAGGCCATACCTATACAAAACATGTCTGTGAAGTTTTTGCTTAAAATACCAAACAGATCATCCATTGTAGCCATGCCTCATACTGCTCATACCTCTCTTTTGCAGCCCTGTTGCAAACAGGCTGATTCTGCTAGCCGCGCCCCTTTGTAGCATCACGCAGCTTTCCCTTTGCTAGAGAGATTTCTACGGGGAGAAGCTCAGCTAAACGCTGCGGTGATTAAATGCCATGTTATGCTTCTACCAACTTCTAGCTTTATTTCTTAAACAGTATGGAGCTCAAACATTACATTACATGTTATTTGTTAGACGCTTTTATCCAAAGCGACTTACATACATTCAGTACTGTGGACAATCCCCACATGAGCAATTTGGGGTGAACGACATGCTGACTGCAGTGAGACTCGAACTTGCTATCCCCTGATTCGAAGTCCATCGTACTATCCACTGAGCCACAGCCTCCTCAAACCTTTGTCTCTCGCAGGGTTTACCACAAGGACATTACGTTACACATATTCTCTCCAGTAGCCTACAGCGTTAGCTCCATGGCTAGCTCTGAGTGTTAGCATGCTTGCTAATGTATAATGATAATTATTGCAGATTATAAATAAATCATTTAGAGACAAGGGGGTGAGATTAATAAGTTATACTTCTTCTCATTCCTTTTCGAAAACTAGATGTGGGANAATGAACAGTCATGGCGTCGGGCGTTTAACGATGTTTGCTGCGTTAGCCAATCAGAAAAATGCACTATGGCAAATGTATATGTTCCCATTGATTATAAATTATATTTTATAATTATGATTTTTTTTTTTAAGAATCAGATATTAAAAATATTTCATAAAAGAGGTAATTGAATTTTTTTTTTTTGTCTTTCATTTTTTTTTTCTTATGCTTCCCGTGCTCATTTTCTGAGGCCCTAGCGTGACCTGCGCCCCCCAGGGCCGGGCGGCCCCCCCCACTTTGAAACCACTGAGCAGTCGACTACCTATTTTGAGAAAACTAGTCGACTTAGTAAATAATTGGTAGTTTGTGAAACCCTAGGCCCTAACCGTCCACGCTAGACTTCCACGCGAGGGCTGCTAGTATGTTTTTGCATGAGGTGAACTTCGCAGGCTTTGATGGTGCTTGCGAAGGTGATATGAACATTTCCTTTTTGCCCATAATTTGCCAAACAACCGGTGCTCTTATTTGATGCTTCCATCCGCGTCCGTTTTTTTAAAACAAAATGCTCCCATCCACCGGGCCTCCAGAGCAAAAGCGTCTCATCGAGCTTCTTCGTTCGATGTTTGATATTGTTACTTCTGTTTGTTGTTGTCTGAAGTCGATGAATGCTTAGTTGCGTTGCCTCCAGTATAATCCCGGTACCCCTGAACTCATCACATGAGAACGTTCCGCCGGTGCAGAAAATAAGTTGCGATCAAATGCGTTAATTTTTTTAACGCGTTAATTTTTGTGTAATTAATTAATCTTAATTAACGCGTTAAAGTCCCGGCCCTAAATAATAATAATAATAACAATAATAATTAATAATAATGATAATTATTGCAGATTATAGATTGTATATAAATCATTTAGGGACAAGGGGGTGAGATTAAATAAATTATAATTCTTCTCACTCCTTTTCGAACACGAGATGTGGGATTGTTTATGTTGCTAATGCTGTTGTTGTTGTTGTTGTAAATGTAATTTTTTTGTTTTGATTTCTCTTACATGACTATGCACTGCAATATTTGTTTTGTAATTATTTATTTTACTGGTTCGAAATAAATGTATCAATCAATCAATCAATTCCACGCATCCCATCAATGGAATTCAATACCACGCCCAATAAGAGAATCTTCATCCTACTACACATTCAAGCACAGTGCAAAAAAGTGGCTCATTGAAAACCAACAGTTTCATTACTGATGTGGGGGTGTAGGTGTGTGTATGAGTGCATATTGTGAATGTTTTATTTATTATCATGACTTACTGTACTCTTATCTGTATTCAGTGATGTCGTCTATTTATTTATTTATTTTTTGGTATAACAACGTCATGGTATTTTAATTCTTGCTTTTAGGATGTCTATCACCATCTGGCAAATGGACTATCGGTGAAAACTAGCCTTTTGGCGAATTCGAGTACTTTTACATGTTTTTAATATGTTGATTAATGTACACTGTCCCTTTTTTTTAAATAAATCAATAAATAAAAAAAAGAAAAGTAAATCACAGCAGTATTGAGCTGCATTTTTTAGATACATTTTTTGTATCTGTTTATGCTAATTAGTTATTTCCTCAGCATTGCAACACATTGTGGTATCAATGCACCTAGGATATCAGCACGCACTATTTGATTGACTTTGACATGGGTGAATACAACCTGATAAATATATTCTCTGCATTTCAGGGCATTGTTGGATTAACATTGGTGTGTGTATGAATACTATGAATGAAAAACAAGTTCAAGAACACCCTAGTTCACTTTCAGGAAAATTGAGAGATAAGGCCAATCAAGAAAGTGTTGTAAATGAACGTGTAATTGTTACTTTTAGAAGGTCTTGATTGACGACTGTTCCCAAGTGAAGTTCTACCGAGGTGTCCCTGAGCAAGGCACCGTTCCCTACACTGCTCCCCGGGGGCCGTACATAATGGAACCCACTGCTCCTAACACTAGGATCGGTCAAATGCGGAAGTGTACATTTACCCTCTGTTGGACTATTAAGGGTATAAAAGATAAGATAAAAATAAATAAAAATAAATAAAGAGAGCAAACTGACTCAAGGGGTGACATATTTTAAACACATATCCATACCTATCTATTATTAATAAACATAAGTTAAGTATATGCACACACACACACACACACACACACACACACACACACACACACACACACACACACACAGTTAGAAAGATTTAATGGGAAACAATCACTAAGTATGTACATACAAATAATGTACTACTGTTAAGAGAAGTAGCTTGAGGACACATCCTCACAGAGTTAGACGAGTCTGTTTGCTTTTATCACACCCAGATCTTGCTTTTCTAAAATGATGTTAGGTTTAAACAAATTCATGTCAAATGCATTGCATAACTGTGTTGGACACTCTAAGACTATCTGGGGCATTTGAATCGTTCTCCACTTGAATAAGAAGGCTTCCAAACACAGCGCAGGTGGGCAAAGCCTTCTCTGGGACTTCAACTCAGGATCATGACCTCTTTGCTCATAGGCACTAAAACGGCCCCTGACAGCTCCTCACAAAGTTGAGAAGTATATCTAAGTACCAAGACTTAAGAACATTCAAAACGAACATTGTGACATTCCTTCTTATATAGTCTCAGGCATCATACTGTATAAGTTAACATTAAAGTGAATTCAATCCAACACAGCTTTAGGCAAAGAAATAAAGATAAAACATAGAAAGAGGGTCAAGTTCACCAAGCATACTTTATTGAATCAATTCATAAGAAATTATCAGAGGACTT